ACTTGGGGGTAAAAACCCAAAGTTTTATTTGCATTTTAAATTGGATCAATTTACAAATCGGAATTACTGGTTTTTGTTTTTTTTTTTTTTAATTTCTATTGACTTATTTTAATTTACTTAAAACACAGAGAGTCACACATACAGTCAGACAGATTTGCCATTCACCAGTTAATTCCACAGATGCCCACAGTGGCCAAAGCCAGTAATCTGGAACTCTATCTTTCCATCTTGATCTCTCAGATGTGTTTTAGGGACCCAACCAGGGCCTCCTAGGAAGGGTTAGTAGGAAGCTTGGGCAGAAAGGAAAATCTGAGGCACAAAACATCTCTCTGATGTGAGGTGCAGGTGTTCCACACTGCTGCTTGACTCACTGCACCACAACCCTGCCATAAGAGTAGTGTTTTAACTGGACCACATTGGTTAGACATTCCTGTGGGTCGTAGGCCTAGAGAAGTCACTCAGGGATTCTTCTGCCATGTCTCACGGTGGTTGACGCAGATATGTGCCCAGAGAAGGTGCATTGTAGTCAGCATCTTCTGTCTAGATCTGTGTCTGTGCTGTTTGGAACATCTCTGCAGTAGCTGAGGCCATGGAGTGTTGTCCTTAGGTACTCGTCTCTTCCGTGAGGACTGCTGCCTGCCCCATCACATAAGTTACCCTGGAGTTAGAGTACCAGGAGCACAGTCCTTGGCTCCACCTACCACTGTGTAAGTGGCACCGTTAGAGAGTGCAGAGGCAAGCTTGTGGATCTGTGTGCCCGTGACCCCTTGGTAGGGAGAGCCCGGCTCCCTGCCTGTGTGGGAACTGACACAGCGCTGGGGCTCCTCCTGCTCAAGACCCTCTGGAAAAAGGGGCCTGCTGCTTTATTAAAAATGGTGATTATATGGGGACTGGCTCCCTGGAATAGTAAGCTGGGCTTCTTCCTTTGGCACCGGCATCACATATGAGCAGTGGTTCGAATCATGGCTGCTCCACTTCTGATCCAACTCCCTTCTGATGGCCTTGGGAAGATACAGAGGAAGATTGGGTCCTTGGGCCCCAACACCCATGTAGGAGACACAGAGAAGCCACTTGGCTGCAGCTTTGCGTCAGCTCAGCTCCAACCATTGCTGCCATTTTTGAGAGTGGACCACAAGATCGAAGATTGTCTCTCTGATCTTCCTCTGTGACTGCCTTCCAAATAAAGATAAAATAAATATTCTTCAAATATTATTCAGCTATTAAGAAGAATGAAATTATGCCATTTACAACTAGTCTCAACTAGAGACCATTTTGCTCGGTGAAATGAGTCAATCACAAAAGAACATGTATTCTCTCTTATATAAGGAAACCATCAAAGTGTACCTTCAATAACCTGATCTACACTGGGTTTTGAGTGTATGTGTGTGTGTGTATTTCTTTTTGGAGTGGGGCTGCATCCCATGAGTTTTGATATTTTTGGTTTCGGTTTCATTTATTCCAAATACTTTGTTTTCTCTTGTCAAATTCATCGCTGGCTCATGGATTACACGGTGGCATCATTTTTCCCAGGAGACTTCTGTGTTTCCTTTTTGTCACCCATGTGTTGGTTACTCAGTGGCATGTTTTTTCATGGTGCTGTAATTTGTTGTTGTTGTAGCTGTTGTTCTAATTCATACCAGTTGTTGGCCTTGTTTAATGGCTTCTCATTTGTGGAAATGGAAATGGAGCATACTGGGATCTACCATATCCAGTTGAGGGGGTACAATGCAACATGCATTCCTACTTCCTAGTGAAACTGTTGGGACTGTGTAGACAATGGGATGCCAGACTGTCTGACACTGTCTAACCAGGAATGTCGGGGCACACTTAAATAAGAGACTGATGCAATTATGACTCGTTATGAAGGACTATACTGTTGTAGCAACATGGGGAAAATCTGGGGGGGGGTGGGAGTTTGGGAGAGGAATCCCAAATAAAATAAAATATTCTTCAAAAGTAATGGTTATAATAAAAATGACACCTGGAAATTTAAATAATTTACTTTGGTCTTGAATAAACTAAAAATGATGAGTGAAGTATTGAAAGGAAAATAGCAGTTATTTCAAAGAATAAAAAACTCTTTGGGATTTTTTTTTCTCTAGACTTCTCCAGCCTATGCTGAATTTCCATTTTTTTGAAATTTGCTCCATGTAGCTTGGAGGTCCAGCCTTGGGGAAGCCCTGGCAACTACTGTTATGCAAGGCTCACTGTCTTCTGTGCGCTGCTCCTCCACAGGCAAGCCTTGAGTTCTGGCCTGTTTGTGTTTGCCTGAGGCCTTGATCTGGAGTCCTGGAGGTCTCCATCTCAACACTAGACTCAGTAGGCCCAGCACGATAGCTTAACGGCTTAAGTTCTTGTCTTTGAACAAGGCAGGATCTCATATAGGCGCCAGTTCTAATCCTGGCAGCCCCACTTCCGATCCTGCTCCCTGCTTGTGGCCTGGGAAAGCAGTCGAGGATGGCCCAAAGCTTTGGGTCCTGCACCCATGTGGGAGACGTGGAGGAAGAGGTTCCTGGCTTCAGATCAGCACAGTACTGGCCGTTGTGATCACTTGGGGAGTGAATCATCAGATGGAAGATCCTCCTCTCTGTCTCTCCTCTCTGTATATCTTCCTTTTCAATAAAAATAAATAAATTAAAAAAAAAAAAAACCTAGACTCAGGACAAGTGAGAGCTGTGTCCCTCCTGCCTTCTGACCTTGATTGTCAGTAGCAATTACTTTGGAGTTTCATCCAGGAATAGGAGGAGGGTCAACACATATTGAGCCCTTGCATTTAGGGACAGGCATTTGGCTTGGCGTGGCTTGGCTTGACTTGGCTTGGTAGTTCAGTTGCCACTTCGATGCCCACACCCTGTGTCAGAGTGCCTGATTCAAATCCTGGCTGCTCCATTTCCCGTCCATCTGTCGGCTCTTGCTCACCCTGAGGAACAGCAGATGGTGAGTCAAGTTCAAGTGTTCTCTGCCGCCAGCATGGGAGAGTTCTGGGTTCCTGGCCTCCAGGTGGTCCAGCCTGCCTCTTCAGGATTTTAGAAGATTTCTGTCTCTGCCTCTTCATCTTTCTGCCTTTCAAATGAAAATTTAAAGACAAATAAGTTCTTAAAAGAAAATGTGTTGGGCCTGGTGGCAAGGCCTAGTGGCTAAAGTCCTCGCCTTGAACGCACCAGGATCCCATATGGGCGCCAGTTCCAATCCCAGTGGCTCCACTTCCCATCCAGCCTCCCTGCTTGTGGCCTGGGAAAGCAGTCAAGGATGGCCCAAAGCTTTGGGTTCCTGCACCCACATGGGAAACCTGGAAGAAGTTCCTGGTTCCCAGCTTCGGATTGGCGCAGCACTGGCCGTTGTGCTCACTTCAGGAGTGAACCATCGGATGGAAGATCTTCCTCTCTGTCTCTCCTCCTCTCTGTATATCTGACTTTGTAATAAAAATAAATAAATCTTTGAAAACGAAAGAAAGAAAATGTGTTTACTACATGGAAACTGCCAAGCACCATTGCTCAGCAGCACGTGTTGAGGCCCTGGCTTTTGCTCCTTATGACCTGGTTGCTGATTGGGAGCTGCAGCCCAGCGTCACAAAGCTTTGTACCTCATGTTGTTGGCCCCGGAAAAGGTGAGCATTCCGGTGGCTTCTACTGGGTACATAATGCTTTAGCATGATTACAAAGTCAAACCAACCCAAGCCTAAGCACTTAATGTTTGTAACAGCCTTATGAGATAGATAACTGTTGTTTCTCATTTTAGATGAGCAAATTAAACCTGAAATAAACTGAAAGTAACTTTCTTCTGACTCAGCTTTTTCTGTGTTAATGGTAACAGGTGTCTAAATCAATAATAGTTTTTCTCTGATAACACACTTCTTTTTTCCTTTTTTTTTTTTAAGATTTATTTATTTTTATTGGAAAGGCAGATATACAGAGAGAGAGACAGACAGGAAGATCTTCCATCCAATGGTTCACTCCCCAAGCAGCTGCAACAGTTGAAGCTGAGCCAGTCCAAATCAGGAGCCTAGAACCTCCTCCAGGTCTCCCACACGGGTACAGGGTCCCAAAGCTTTGGTCTATCCTCAACTGCATTTCCAGGCCACAGGCAGGGAGCTAGATGGGAAGAGAGGCGGCCGGGATTAGAACCGGCACCGATATGGAATCCCAGCATGTTCAAGGCGAGGACCTGTCATGCCAGGCCCACTTCTCTTTTCCCAAAAAATATTTCTTGATATGTCTAAAAGGCAGAGTAGCAGAGAGGGAGCGAGGGAGAGTCTTCCATAGGTTGGTTTACTCCCAAATGTCTGCAACAGCCAAGACTGGGCCAGGTAGAACCCAGAAGCCAGAAACAATATCTAAGTCTGCCACGTGGATGATAAGAGCCTACGTGCTTGGGCCATTGTCCATTGCCTTCCCAGACACATGAGCAGGAATGTCAGATAAGAAGCAGCACAGCCAGGATTTGAACCAACACTCAGATATATTTTTTTTAATTTATTTATTTTTATTGGAAAGGTGGATATACATAGAGGAGGAGAAACAGAGAGGAAGATCTTCCATCCGGTGGTTCACTCCCCAAGTGACCGCAACAGTTGGAGCTGAGCCAATCCGAAGCCAGGAGCCAGGAGTTCTTCCAGGTCTCCTACGCAGGTGCAGGGTCCCGAGGATTTGGGCTGTCCTCAACTGCTGTCCCAGGCCACAAGCAGGGAGCTGGATGGGAAGCAGGGCCGCCGGGACCAGAACTGGCGCCCATGTGGGATTCTGGCACTTGCAAGGCGAGAATCTCAATCACTGTACTATCGTGCCGGACCCCCAACACTCAGATATTGACTGTTTGCTCCTCAAGCAGTGGCTTGACTCACCACACCAGAACATCAGCCCCATGACGCCAGTGGTGTCTCTCCCTTGTATTGTTGCTTCCCATCTTGTCATTCTTCCTGAAACAGCAGATGTGTATACAGTCTACCTTTGGATTGTTGTGAGATCTTGATTCCTAACCCTGGTGTTTCTGATTCCTTACAGGGTCCTATCCTTCCCCGAAGGCTGGCGCCACTCTGGTCGTGTACAAGGACTTGCTTGTGCTGTTTGGTGGCTGGACACGGCCAAGCCCCTATCCCCTACACCAACCAGAGAGATTCTTTGATGAAATACATACTTACTCACCCTCTAAAAACTGGTAAGTCTCCAAAATAAATCGCATTAAGCCTGAAAATAATCAATGGATTATCTTTTGATAAAGAATTTGACAAAATTTCCCAGGGAGAAAAAAATGTATGTACATACAGATTTTGCCGACAGTTTCAGATAACTTAGGGTTTCATGAGGATCGCATAACCAAAGAATCCCTATTGAGGGCAGCATTATGGCATAGCAGGTAAAGCTGCTACCTGTGACAGTGGCATCCTATGTGGGCACTAGTTCAAGTCCTGGCTGCTCCACTTCCAGTCTAGCTCCCTGTTGATAGCTTGGGGAAAAGAGTGAAATATGGTTCAAGAAGGAAACCTGGATGAAACTCCTGGCTTCAGCCTGGCCCAGTGTTGGCCACTGCATCCATATGGGGAGTGAACCAGAAGATAGATCTCTGTCTCTTCCTCCCTCTATAACTCTGATTTTCAAATAAAACTGAGGCCAGTGCTGTGGCTTAGCAAGCTAATACTTCACCTGCAATGCTGGCATATCATATGGGAGTTGGTTCGAGTCTTGGCTGCTACAGTTTTGATCCAGCTTCCTGGTTGTAGCCTAAGATGGCTCAAGCTCTTGGGCCATCTCTTTCTTTATCTCCCTTCTCTCTCTGTAAATCTACCTGTCAAAAATAAATAAATCTTTACACAAAACAAAACCCTATTCCAAGCAGGAAAAGCAGAAGAGAGTTATTCCTTTTCAAAATAAATAAATACCCATTGAAGACATAGAGTTTTTTCAGTTTTGGCTGCCAATTCTCCTGGACTGCTATAGATACAGATAATTCCCCACTCCCTGCTGTCTCAGATACATGTTTACATGATGGCAACACCTGTGGCTTGCAATAGAATGCTTGGCATGTGGCTCTTGGCAGCTGCTACTGATGAGAGCCAGAAAGAAAATGTCTGGTAGTCCTCCTTCAGCAAACCAGGCTGATGCAGACAACAAGCTAAGATCTTAGCTCGTGGTGCTGTCTCCTCGTTTCTTCCGTCTCCCAACCATCTCTGTGAGAACTTGAAAGGTGTGCATGCCTTGGACATCCTGCATTTATTATCCTGTCTTCACAAATGGTGATGGGATTGTCATTTGAACTGGATACCTACTTATGGTTTTAACACATAAATGCTCATTAACACACATATTTTGCCTAGAATGTTTATGGGATGTTCTTTTTTTTTTTTTTTTAAAGATTTTTTTTTTTTTTTTTTTTTTTTTTTTCATTGGAAAGGCGGATATACAGAGAGGAGAGACAGAGAGGAAGATCTTCCGTCCGATGATTCACTCCCCAAGTGAGCGCAACGGGCCGATACTATGCCGATCCGAAGCCAGGAGCCTCTTCTGGGTCTCCCACGCGGGTGCAGGCTCCCAAAGCTTTGGGCCGTCCTCGACTGCTTTCCCAGGCCACAGGCAGGGAGCTGGAAGGGAAGCGGGGCTGCCGGGATTAGAACCGGCGCCCATATGGGATCCCGGGCGTGCAAGGCGAGGACTTAACCACTTGCGCCATCGCGCCAGGCCCTATGGGATGTTCTTAACAGGCTCTTTAAACATCTAGAATCACAAGCTTGCTACTGACTTCTTGGTTTCCTCTTTTCATGTTAGGTGGAATTGCATTGTGACAACCCATGGACCACCTCCCATGGCTGGCCACTCCTCCTGTGTCATTGATGATAAAATGATCGTCTTTGGTGGCTCTTTAGGGTCCCGGCAAATGTAAGTATATTCGTTTGCTCTATATTAACCTGAACATATACACTACTAGGAGTAACAGGCCAGAAAGTGAATTTGGTCAGGGTTGGTATTCCTGGGCATATTCTAATGAATGTAGTTAATTAATCTCACCCACACATTTGCTCTTCTGGCCACACACTAGCAAGTTGAAAAACTTGATGGTATGAAATCTTTTGCTATTTGATATATAGTAGGGTGGAGTCTGAACCGTGTCACTGTACCAAGCCTTCAGAAGGCCAGCCTCAGGAAGAAGAGTGGTCTTCCAGCTTGTGCTCCTTGGGAGTTTAGAGAAGGAGACAGGAAGTTAGGACAGGCAGAATTGTGAACTCAGCAAAGGGGGTGGTTTGGGGAGTGGGTAGAAGCCAGAAAAGTGTGTCTGAGGTTACATACTCCCAAGGCTCTTTTCTCCGCCCACTGTTCTCTCCATCTCTGACCAGAACTGGTCAGTTCAGGCCAAAGTCAAGAGCCAGAGCAGTGTGTCTGTATTGTAGTTTACCTGAGTCAGCAGTGCCTGCAGTGGTGGTCGTTTCTCCTATGCTCTCTGAAATGGAAATTGATGCACTCTTAACAATAGAGCCATTCTGGTCCTAGTTGTATCAGCTCAGAGAGTAGCTGTGGGAGCTGCCCTCCCTGTGAGGGGCTTAGGGTTTCGGGACTTGGAGCTGTTACTCCTGGATGCTTATGTGGATTGCCTTAAAGAGGTGAAAGCTGACTACCATTCGGGAACCTGTCCTTGCTGGGCAAGGCCTTGAAGGCTGCAGGTGTCAGTTTGTCCTTGATATGGCTGAACTTTGATTAATCATCATGAAATTATTTTTGTAGTCAAAATCAATGAAACTTTTTACCCCCAGATGATGCTAGAGGTGCTTTTAAATCACCTTTTCTCTTCCTGTGGTTTTGCTTTTGAAAGACTTGACCAGGAGCTATTTCCTGTTACCAGTTAACTTTTACTCAGGTGGTAATGTGTGGCTGCTAAATGATTCAAATGAGGGCTGTGGGTCATTGAGAAGAACAGAGGTTTGGCGGATGGCGGATCTTCCTCTCTCTCTCCGTAAATCTAACCTACCTTTCCAATAAAAATAAATCAATCTAAAAAAAAAGAGAGAGAGAGCGAGCAGAGGGTCTTGAAATGAGTTCAGAGACAACAGGGAGGAGCTGTAAGCACAGCACTTTGCTGAGTGTCTTCTGAAATGTCACTTGTCACTTATTTCAGCCTTTAGATTAGTAGCAGTTTCTATTCTATAGATAAGGGCAACAGAATTAGAGACGTGGAAGAACTAGTTGGATTCCTCAACAATCCTTGTAATCTGAAGTTCCTGAACTCTCAGGCCATCCCTTAAGCTTTCTGCACCTCGGGCTGTGCAAGTGAGCATGGTACAGGTAGAATTCTGCAACCTCCAACTCCCTTCTGTCCTTATTTCACAGGAGCAACGATGTCTGGGTCCTTGACCTCGAGCAGTGGGCGTGGTCCAAGCCGAACATCTCAGGCCCCAGTCCCCATCCCCGAGGTGGCCAATCTCAGGTGCTCAGGAATTAAAATAGCTATTCCACAGACATTGTAGCATCTTTCATTTAGAACGGGAGAGGGAGGAGGGAGTCAGGTAAGATGCCAGTGTGCACCAAGACAAAGAGAATTTACCATTTTGTTTGCTACTTATTTTTCAGCTTCAAATGGGTCATTATTTATAGTGGCTTTAAGTAATGCCTTTCCCCAAACCGTGTATTTTGCTATTTGATTTCTCAAGAGAACTGCGTTTTCTGTGGCTGACACTTTCATGTTAATATGTGATCAGCAAAGAGCGTGTCCATTCAGGTGAATTCTTCGTAATTTGTTCAGTAAGAGCTGATGTGGTTTGGGAAGAATGGGGAAGCACAAGTTATCAAGACACTCTTGGAAGCTGGGGAGGCGGTTTTTGCATAACAGTGAAATCATGTACCTGTATATTTGTAGATTTATTTTACATTTGTTCCCTCTCCAGATTGTCATAGATGATGCAACTATCTTAATTCTTGGAGGGTGTGGTGGTCCCAATGCTGTGAGTATTGCTTATTTGACATTCCCAGATAGATGCTAAATGTTCAAAACTTTGTGTCCCATCTTGTTTAAAAACACATGCAAGACTATTTCCATGTCAGATTTTCTTCTGTATTTGTTTAAAGAGAGAGAGAAACAGACAGACAGACAGATTTCCATCTGCTGGTTCACTAATCAAGTGACCACACTAGCCAGGACTAGGGCAGGCTGAACCATAAACTCTTATCTCCCATGAAGGTGACAGTAACTCAAGTACTTGAATCATTATTTGCTGTTTCCTAAGCTCAGTTTTCAGAACTTGATCAAAAGAGAAATAGCTGTAACTCAGACCAGCATTCCAATGTGGGGTGGAGGGATCCCAAGAAGTGCTTAACCCACTGCTCCATGGTCCTGCTCCCCCACACACTCACACTACTCTTTTATATATATAAAACTTTATTATAAAGAACTAAAAGTGAGTTCCCATGATGGCTAGGATTGATGGCCGGTAGAACTGGGAATGCAGTCAGGGTCTACCCCATGAAGAGTAGAGCCCCAGTCACTGGAGCCATCACCTTTGCCTCCTGGGGTCTGCATGAGCAGGAATCAAGAGCCAGAGCTGGTATCAAATCCAGGACCTCCAGTGTAGAGAGGAGGTCTCTCCACTGGTGCCTGAATCACCAGGCTACACACCTGCTGCCTATGGCCTGTTGATTTTGAGATTTCTTCTCTAATGTGGATATATAGTCATGTATTTTCTGGCCCTTTTCCCCCACTCTTTTCTGAAGTTGCAGAATGATTTTAATTAGACATTTACTTCTTGAATCCTTACGTTCTTCCCCATCCCTACTTCCTCTTTTTTTTTTTTTCTAAGATGTATTTTATTTATTGAAAGTGAGAGAGAGGGAGAGATAGAGATCTTTCATCTGTTGGTTCACTCCATGGAGAGCCACACTGGGACTGAATCAAGAGCCAGAAATTCCATAAGGGTCTTCTGCTTGGGTAGCCGGGTCCTACTTTGTCTTAAGACTGTAAGACTTACTGCTAGGGGCTCATGCAGTCGCTCAACTGGCTAATTCACCTGTAAGTGCCAGCATTTCGTGTGGACGCTGACCGCTCCACTTCCCATCCAGTTCCCTACTTGTGGCCTGCAAAAGCAGTTAAGGATGACCCAAAGCCTTGGAACCCTGCACCCATGTGGGAGAATTGGAATAGGCTCATGGTTCCTGGCCTTGGATTGGCTCAGGTCCAGCCATTGAAACTATTTCTGGAGTGAACCTGCGAATTGAAGCTCTTTGTCTTTCCTTTCTATAAATCTACTTTTACAATGAAAATAAACGAATCTTAAAAGAATAAAACAATACTATCATGTTTTCAAAGGAGAGGGGGCAGTAGAATGAAAAATTGACACAGTAGCCTAATGGCTAAACCCTTGCCTTGCATGCACTGGTTCGTGTCCCAGCTGCTCCACTTCTCATCCAGCTCCCTGCTGGTGGCCTGGAAAGCAGTCAAGGATGGACCAAAGCTTTGGAACCCTGCACCCACTTGGGAGACCTGGAGGAAGCTCCTGGCTTCTGGCTTGAGATTGGTTCAGCTCCAGTCATTGCAGCCACTTGAGGGAGTAAACCAGTAGATGGAAGATCTTTTTATCTGTCTCCTTCTCTCTGTCAATTTACCTTTCCAACAAAATAAATAAAATCTTAAAAAAAAAAAAAAAAAGAAGAAAACAAAAAGCAGGTTGACAGTCGCCACATTTAATGCCAGTTCATGGGTGGGCAGTTGGTTAAGAGTCCCACATCCAGCATCAGAGCGCCTGGCCTCAGTTTTTGGCCTCCGAAGTTCAGTTTTCTCCTGATACAGACCTGGGCAGGCGATGATGATAATTCATGTTAGCACGTTTCTGTCAGCTTGCTGGATACCAGTGGTCTGGGTCAGAACCCGTCTCTGCCTCACAAATAAGTAAGAATACAAAATTCACAGGATAATGGATATTTCTTATCTACCCTCTCCCCTGGCCCACAATGTGCACCTACACACACAACAATGGACACAATTCCATCAGCCCTGCCAGTTTAGTACATCAATGAATGTATGCACAACTGAGTAACTGAGTAACTAACTACATAAATAATGGAAGTTGTATCTCTAAAGAGCCCACATGCTTTGTGGGCCATGTGGCGCAGCACTGCGACCACGGCTCTGTGTGGAACACGTACCGCCCCCCCAAGTCCTGTTGTTGGTCCTTCTCTTACAGCTGTTCAAGGATGCTTGGTTATTGCACATGCACTCGGGTCCCTGGGCCTGGCAGCCACTCAAGGTAGAAAACGAAGATCATGGGGCCCCCGAACTGTGGTGCCATCCAGCTTGCCGGGTAAGTGGAAAACTGACAGGCTAGTAAAAGAGATCTTCATTGGGAAAACCAATTAAATTTGCCAGATTTCAAAGGAAATTTATACAGAAGTAGGAAGCACCTTGGTGTTACAGAAGAGGTCTTCATGAGTTAATTTCTTTGATGTTTGTCACATGTTTGAGCCACCACCAGTTGGGGAGTCACTAGGTGTGGCTCCTCTCTCACCTTGGAGTACCAATTTGGAGCACCTCTTTGTCTCAAACAGAAAGGGGCCCTCCCCTCCCAACCCCGTTCCATAGACGTAACTGTAATAGTGGCACCTGTCACACAAAAGCATCAGCTGTTCTCATGTTCTCCGCTTCTTGGTCTTCCAGGTGGGACAGTGTGTGGTGGTCTTCAGCCAGGCTCCCAGTGGGAGAGCCCCACTTAGCCCCAGTCTGAATTCTCGCCCATCACCCATCAGTGCCACTCCTCCGGCCCTGGTTCCAGAGACCCGAGAGTACCGCTCCCAGTCGCCAGTGAGGAGCATGGATGAAGCGCCTTGTGTCAATGGCCGCTGGGGGACCCTAAGGCCCAGGGCTCAGAGGCAGACTCCGGCAGGCTCTCGAGAAGGGAGCCTGTCCCCCGCCAGGGGAGATGGCTCACCTGTTCTCAATGGTGGCAGTTTGTCTCCAGGAACAGCTGCTGCTGGCGGCGGGTCTTCCCTGGACAGCCCCCTTCAGGCCCTGTCTCCGAGCACACCATCTGCTGCTGAAGGATACGACCTGAAGATGGGGCTCTCTGCAGGCCCCCGACGAGGGTCACTCCCAGATCAGAAAGATCTGAGACTGGGATCAATTGATCTAAACTGGGACCTGAAACCTGCCTCTACTAGCAATCCCTTGGATGGTGTGGACAACAGGACAGCCGGGGGAGGCGGGAGACACCCTCCGGACCAGACCAATGGTGTGCACACCCCGCCACACGTGGCCAGTGCCCTTGCGGGGGCCGTCTCTCCAGGCACCCTGCGTCGCAGTCTAGAGGCCATCAAAGCGATGTCGTCCAAGGGCCCCTCAGCCTCCGCGGCACTAAGTCCTCCTCTGGGGTCTTCCCCCGGCTCCCCTGGGAGCCAGAACCTGAGCAGTGGTGATATGGTGCCTGTCTCCCGCCCAGGGCCTGCCCAGGGAGATGGACATTCCTTACCTCCCATTGCCCGCCGCCTGGGCCACCATCCTCCCCAGTCCCTGAATGTTGGCAAACCCCTGTACCAGAGTATGAACTGCAAGCCGATGCAGATGTATGTGCTGGACATTAGAGACACTAAGGAGAAGGGGCGGGTCAAGTGGAAAGTGTTCAACAGCACATCTGTGGTCGGTCCTCCTGAAACCAGCCTGCACACGGTGGTGCAAGGCAGGGGTGAGCTCATCATCTTCGGAGGACTCATGGACAAGAAGCAGAATGTGAAGTACTATCCCAAAACAAACGCCTTGTACTTTGTGCGAGCAAAGAGATAGTGTGTTCTAACCCTTCCCTTTCTGTGGCTTTTGATTTGGAATTTTCCAGTGTGCAAGCGTTTGGACTGAGAATTGGGAAAACAAAGAAATTACTCCCATAAACCAAAACTCCAGTTCCCAGTCTCACTCACTCCAGGCTGGGATCAAATCTCCACTAAGAAAAAAAAATATATATATATATAAATATATACATATATATTATATAACCAACTGTTTACAAAAAGGGCGAGATCTCCATCCCGATTCAGATAAAATTGTTGCTGTGTTCCAGCAGAGGCTGTTCTGCCTTTTCCTACTTTGCTGGTAAGAAGACCGAGAAGTTAGGGAACAGACTAACCAACTCATAGCAGTAACTTTCCAAAAAGAAACCCAAGAGCCCCCGTCAATCTTTGTGGCCTTCTTGGAATTAGAAGACTGCAGGGCGTGCAGGGCAGGTGTAAGATGCAAAGGTGAGGGTTGTTTGTTGTTGTTTTCCCCAGACTCTGTGCTTCTGGTGCTGGCAGGGTAAGAGAAACTTAAAGAAAACTGTTCTAATCCTTTCATCTCCCAACCCCAGAGGGCCTGTGACCACAGGCAGTACTGCCCCGCCTGAGCCCAGTCTGCCTGGGTGACCAAGGGCCGCTGTCCAGCAAGGGCTTTTGTTCTATGTTTGTGTGCCAGGATCTCCGTGACATCACGCTGATGCAGCCAGCACAGATCGCGCTGGGGTCCACGGGTCTTCCTGAGTGTCTATGAAAATGTTTTCATGTCTGTGGAATTTTCCGACCATCTTTTTTGGTTGCAAGTTGCCAAAAGTTCTATTTGTTCTTTTCCCCTCCTGGAATTTGGTTATTGGAAACTGCCTTTTCTGTTTATAGGCTAGCTATTTTTTTTTTTTTTTTAACCAGCTCAGGTGCCTAGAGAACTCAGATGCTCCTCCTGGAACCCCTTCCCTGGTTCTGTGCCTGGAGGGCCAGGATGGAATTCTGAGATTCCTGGAAAAGATTATGTTGTTTGCCCTCTAATCTTTGTATTTCCCAGGTCTGTGGGGCACACCCCTCCCCCCTCCCCTGCTGAGTGTGGAGAATCCCTAACAATTCCTGCCAGAGACCCTCCTTCCTGGTGGTGACAGGTGATAGGGTTGAATATCACATACTGTATCTGACCTTCATGGCCTATGACTGTCTGGTTCACATGGCGCCACACAGCTTGGGTTTTCTCTTTCATTTCTTCCCGGAGATAAGGTTCACCCAAGCCCCGAATGTCCTTGGTGGGTGCAAAAGGTTACAGGTGTCAAGGCCACGACATAGGAGCTGCCCAACCAAGTCTCACATTAGATGGCACTATTTGAACATGGATCCTTGGTGATTCCTTATCAGTGGATAGAGGATTTTTATTTTTTGTTTAGGATTTTAATTTCAAAACACCCGTTTCCTACCTCCGCCTTCTGCTTTGTCTTGTGAGCATTTCCCAGGCTTGCTGCTGCAGCCGGCCCTGACCCTGGCTTGTAGCCAGCCATCAGACTGGCCGTCCGTGTGCAGTCACCTGCGGCAGCGTGCTGCATCCTTCCCCTCACCGCTGGCTTTTACACGTGGTCTTGGCAGGAAAGCCCAGGCAAGGACCAGCTCCCCAGAGGTCCTGTGTTCCCTCTGAGACGAAGAAACGGCCACCTGCCCATTCACCATGGCCTCCCCTGTTCGAAGCTGCACACTTGGCTTTCCAGACTCCCCACTCTGGAGCGGCTGCCAGTCGGTTTTGGGCAGATTGTTCAGTCATGTGAGTCCTGGTTTAGGAGATGAGCAAGGTAGGCTTTGCTGCTGTCGCTGAGCCTCGTGTCTGACGTTGCGTCTGCTGTGGACAGTGCCTCCAGGCTCATTTGCTCCTGAAATACAAAGTATTTGGAAGCCTAAAAGTTCAGAATCTCAGCTCTAGCCTTTCCCGTCGTCCTGTGGCCCTCATGAGCCAGTTGTTAACCTGTCGATCCCTTCCGCTTTCCCCGCGTGGGCAGGCAGCCGAGACGGTGATTCTCCTAGGGAATAACATGTGCGGCCCAGGGTTACCCACACCGCTTGGAACCAGATCAGCCGTTTACAGCTCCTTAAGAAAAGCCTGCCTTCTGCGTGCCCAGTGGTATGGTCCTGGTGGCCCCGGCCACTGTGGCCATGTACAGCCGGGCAAAGCAGCTGGACACAGCCACAGTGAAGATGTCCCTGGGCCCTCCAAAGCCACAGGTGCGATGGACTCCAGGTGTCAGCCGAGGTGACCATTCCTACAGCCTGTGGGTGCTTCCCTTGCGTCTGACCCAGCCACAGCTCTTTCAGACATGATACCAATTTTGTCTTAAAATTCACTGAGAAAATGAGATAAAATGTCATTTTTTAAACCCTCAGGAGCACCTAAAGCAAATATTTATCAGTATTTAAGTATTTAAGGTACTTTCTGTTTCTACTTGAAGCTTTAACCCCTCCCATTCCTGCGAGTGTGCCTTTGAGAGCCCCTATGTCCTGCTGACACCCCAGCCGCTCCCCTCGTCGGCTCTGTATAGGGCCCTGCCTGGTCCCGCCCTGCTGGCCAGAGCTCCCTGCCCGCCCACTCCACGGGTGACCCTGCAGAGGGCTTCTGTGTCTGTGTTCACCTGGGTGTGGCCTCCACAGCCTCACCCTACCCGCATGTTTTCGGAGCACAAAACTAGGTGTCAGAACAAGCTTAAATTGTGTTTCGGTACTCAGCTGATTTTTCTCCTGGCGCTCCGTGGATTGATTTGGTTTTCATGTATGAGTTTTATAGCAAAAGCTGAAACAACTGTCCTAAGAACTGTGTTGAACTCTACAAAAAAAAAGCAGAAGAGGAGGAGGAAGAAAGACCTAACTTGAGAAGTGTCGGCTTTGGAGAACAGAAAGCCAGTGGAGAATAAGGGGATGCTTCCTTTCTCTTCACCTAGCCTGGGCTTCCTCCTGCTTCACTTTGTTTCTTTCCCTTGAAAGTAATATCCCTGGTTGGTCTCTCTGTCCTGGTCCTTGTCCTTGTAGTGACCCTGGCATGGTGGTGTGCTTTGCTTTGCATTATCTGTGGTCTCTGCCAGTGCACAGGTCAGTGGGGGGGAGGAACTGGCCACACCCAGGGCCCATGGAGGCCGGGTCCACGCAGCCTCCCCGAGTACTGCAGAAGGCATGTTCTGCAAGTCGCTGGTTCACGGCCCCTCTCCCCATGTTTATGGTCAATGGGAGCAGACTTCCGAGGTTGGCTCCGTTGTGCTCCCTGCTCTGTTGCCCTCCCTGCCAACCAGGGTTCATGCCAGGGCACAGCCAGTGTGCCCTGGCAAAGCCGGTGCTGTGACGTTCCCCATTGAGCTCAGGGCTGCCAGGTGGCTCACCCTGAGACAGTCATTTTAGGCACATAACCGTGTAGGAATGAACGTGGATTTCATTGATATTTAAAACTCTTGTCAGTTTCTTTTTTGGTTAATGTTTTCCCCTGATGACTTTTTAGCAATTTAACAAATAAAACAAAATGGACAGAATTATCTTAGCTGTTTCATTAGTAACAAAAAAGAGGAAAAAAAACTGGTGTGGAAGAAGGAAACAGGTTGGGAAGCGGAGGAAGACCTTCGGGCAGATTGTGCCTGGACAGGGTGGCATCACCCTGCCCTACGGACAGTGCCACTTCAGAAGCAGTGTGACACTGCTCAGAGAAGCAAGACCTAGAGCAGCATGGTGGGTGGCGTTCTGTCCTGCCTTCCACTGCTTGGGCTCGAGTTTCCTCTGCACGTGCGGCTCCTGCTCCCCGGGTTGTGAGGATTTCAGTGGTGTGTGGTGAGCACTGGTGCAGTGCCTGGGACGTGCTAAGTCGGCAGCCAGTCCTCCCTGCGCAGGCCCAGCACAGCACTCCCAGTCAGAAGGTCTTGTTCTCCCGGCTGCTAAAGGCTCTGTGCTCATTTGGATGTCAAGTACAGGGGAGTGGAGGGGTCTTTTATGCCTCAGGATCCTGAGCCAGCTCCTCTGCCCAGGCCTTCCCCCTCCCGCCGCCTCGCTGTAGAGCTGACAGGTCCTGGACTTGGAGCTCCCCACCACCTTGGCCCTGGGCTGAGCTGGAGGCAGCACGGACACCTGCATTGAGGGGCTTGCTCCTCTGTGCCCTTTCTCCTCCCCTAGCCAAAGTGAGCCTTGTGTTAAAGGCCATTACTTTTCCCTGGTCCTGTGGCGCTGCGGGCGATAGGCAGTGGGCGCAGCATTCTCATGGATGCTGTGGGAGGTGGGCCAGAGGCTCCATCACCTGCGTGAAGGAGAGCAAGACTGAGACCCAGGGGACCCGCATGCCATTTCAACTCCCGAGACATCGTTCTGTGGACTCTGCAAGGATTTGGAAAAGAGGTAACAGGGCAGGAAAAGGGGCACAGGACAGCTGCTTGTGACGCCAACATCCCATGTTGGAATGCCAGTTTTTAGTCCTGGCTACACTGCTTCTGATCCAGCTTGCCTCTTACACACCTGGGAAGCCAGCAGGTGATTCTGCTCAAGTCCTTGGGCCCCTGCTTCCCATGTGGGAGAGTTCTGGTTGGAGTCCTTGGCTGAATGAATAGCGGATGGAAGATCTGTGTCACTCTTATCTAAATAAGCAAGTCTCTTTCAAAAACAAACAATTTGCTGTAGATCCCACTCACTGAAACAGCAACTTTGAAACAAACCTCACAGGTTGGTGGCTTAGCTGGTACCAGCTAAGACAACCTATTGAGTGGATGCAATTTCCCAAAAGGCCACTGGGGGGCACCCTGTGGGAAGCTTGGAGTCCTTTCATCTTAAAGGGAAATGGTGGGACTGGAAGAGAAGATCGCATGGGTTTCTTCCCTGCCCTTAGTCCCTAGCCTCGTCTTGACTCCTGAGCTCTGTCTGTCTCCAGGCTGGCCCTCCTGGCTTCTCTGCCCTGGCACAGTGTCTTCCCCACAGGCAGGGCTCTCAGAAGCTGTGAGCATTCACAGAGCGAGGCGATGCCTTGGAGTCCTAGCCAAGCACTGCTTCCCCACGCACAGCTGTCAGCACAGCCCTGAGAGGGAGACCAGGACCGTGCAAGCCTCAGGAGCCTAGGAGAGGGAGTTCCTGCCAGGCAGGTGGGCTGTGGCCTGTCGTTGAGACCAGGGGATCATCTGTTCTCAGCAAACTCTCCAGCACATCTGCTGGCCTCAGAGGCACTAGGACACCTTGCACAGGCCACCGTTGCTGAATTCATAGCCTCATCCCTAAGCAGGAGGGTGCCGTGCTTGCTGAACATGAACGTCAAGTCCTGGGGCCTGTGGCAGGCCCAGCTGCTCCGCTTTCTATCCAGCTCCCTACAGACCTGGGAAAGCAGAAGGTGGCCCAAGTGTTGGAGCCTCCGCCACTCATGTGCGAGACAGGGTGGAGTTCCAGATCCCTGGCCTGTGTGGCCCAGCCCTGGCTGTGGTGGCCGTCTGGGAAAGGAACCAGCAGATGGGAAGACCTCTTTCTCTGTCTTTCCTTCTGTTTATTAGTTCTGCCTTTCAAATGAGTAAGTATTAAAAAAAAAAAAAAAAAAAAAAAGCAAATCCTGCACTTCTAAGGGAAAAAGTTGGAGTTATGACTGTCTGCACCCAGCACAGCCAACCACGGGCAGGCTAGTTGTTAGGAAAGCCAGAGAACTAAGAAGATGTATTTCTTGGGCCCGGGGCAGTGGCCTAACAGCCAAAGTCCTTCCCTTGAACATGCCAGGATCCCATATGGGCGCCGGTTCTAATCCTGGCAGCTCTACTTCCCATCCAATTCCCTGCTTCTGGCCTGGGAAAGCAGTCAAGGACAGCCCAAAGCCTTGGGACCGTGCACCCATGTGGGAGACCCAGAAGAGGCTCCTGGCTTCGGATCAGTGCAGCACCAACCATCATGGTCACTTGGGGAGTGAATCATCAGATGCAAGCTCTTCCTCTCTGTCTCTCCACCTCTCTGTATATCTAACTTTGTAATTAAAAAAAAAAAAAGATGTATTTCTTGCTCTGGTACCTTAGTCTGTCTGTTCTGATGCCACAAAGTACCATACATACACGGGGTCATTCATGAGCAACAGAAAAATATTCCTCAAAATGTCAGAGGCAGAGGGGGCCTGGTGAGGGCCCTGTTCTGTCTGTAAGGGGGCACCTTGGTACTGGTACATCAGCACCGTGTGTGTGTAGGGCACCAAAGGGGCAAATCTATGGCATTTTTAATTATTAGATAATTTTTATTGGAGATTCAAATATACAAAGAGGAGAGACAGAAAGATCTTCCATCTGTTGGTTCATTTCCCAATGGCCGTATGACCAGAGCTGAACTGATCTGAAGCCAGGAGCCAGGAGCTTCTTCCAGGTCTCCCACACAGGTACAGGGTCCCAAAGTTTTGGGCCATACTCAACTGCTTTCCCAGGCCATAAGCAGGGAGCTGGGTGGGAATCAGGGCTGCCGGGATTAGAACCAGCACCCACATGGGATCCGGCACGTGCAAGGCGAGGACTTCAGCTGCTTAGCTATTGCTCCAGACCCTAGCTGCAGCCTTTCTAAGATCATCAACCAGTCCTTCCCCAAAGGACCCATGTCTGCAGACTGTCACACTGACGATTAGGTTTTCAGGTGAATTTGTGGGTACCCTGAGATCAGAGCCCTCAGCTTCACTCTCCTCAAGTGGCAAGGGTAGATGAGGCAGCCTTTCTGCAGACTCCCTGGTGGGCACCGCCCAGGCCACACCTTCAGTCAGCATCGCAGGATCTCAGTAGGCTGAGTGGTCTCCGACCGGACAAACTCCCCGTGTTCCAGGTAGCATGCCCAGAGGAGCTGTGGGCGGGGCCTTGGACACTGTGGAATGACCTGTGCCGGTTGGATGGCCAGAGGTCATGTACTCAGACCTGGCAAAGGGAGGAAGCCCCGGACTCGAAGAGGGGGAGATAAGGACAGACACATTGGAGAGACCAGCGCTGCCAGGACTGTGGCAGAAAGCAGAGTCTACCCCACACTGGATGTGATCCCCTAGGGCCAGAGGAGGGGGGCAAGAAAGGAGACAAACTTAAGGAGTCTGAGTGTTGGAATTGTGGCAGAGGAAAAAGAGTTGAATTGAAATTCAGCAGGAGGGGAGGGTGTTGCGGCACAGTGGGTTAAGCTGCCACATGGCATGTCTGTGTCCCACTTTGGAATGCTTGGTTTAACCCCTGGTCTCTCTTCGTCTGCTCCAGCTTTCTGTAGCAGGTAATGGTGCAACTCCTTGAGTCATTCCAACCCACATGGGAGACTTCTATGAGGTCCTGGCTTCTAACTTTCTAACTAACTTTAAAAAAAAAAAAAAAGATTTATTTTTATTGGAAAGTCAGATATACAGAGAGGAGGAGAGGCAGAGAGGAAGATGCTCCCTCTGCCGATCCACTCCCCAACAAGCCACAATGACTGGAGTTGAGCCGATGTTAAGCCAGGGGCCAGGAATTCTTCCGGATCTCCCACACAGGTGCAGGGTCCCAAGGCTTTGGGCCATCCTCCACTGTTTTTCCAGGCCACAAGCAGGGAGCTGGATGAGAAGTGGAGCAGTTGGGACACGAGGTGGCATCCATATGGGGTCCTGGCTCTTGCAAAGTGAGCATTTAACCACTGAGCTACCCGTATTTTGCTTATTTAAAACAGAGAGAGAAAGAGAGGAACTCAGCCTCGAGCTGAAAACATCAAGCAGGTACAGCAGCTGGGCACACAGCAGGTGCTCAGGAATGAAATAAATAAGTCAACCAAATGAATGGCAGGTAGGTAGAACCCTGGAGGCCACTCACTCAGTGTTTCAAAAAACATGAGAGCCAGAGCAAGAAAGCTACAAAGGGGAGTGAGTGAGCCCTGTCAGCTAAGGCACTGCACAGACACATCCCCCAGCCGTGATGGGCGCCTGCTGATGAGTGGAAGGGGTGGAGTATCCCTGCTGTCTCCCTTGCACAGCTAACTCCTGTCAGCCAGAAGCTGGAGTCAGGGGCCAGGGGGTGGGCAAGGAACGCAGGGACTCAAATCTGGGCCATGGGCATCTGAATCCGGCCTAACGGCCGCAAAGCCCCATACTGACGGATTCTAAGATGCCGAGCAAGCCAGCAAGCCAATCCCTCCCCATCTACAAGGACGCACGCTTGTACCCGCCAAACAGGATTCTCAATAGCAGCAGCGGTGTCTACACTCGCGACGTGCTCAGGCAGTGCTGGGCAGAGCCCTACGAGGTAGAGGAGCAGCTTACCAACACTTCATAGAACAAACTGAGACACGGAAAGATATGAGAGGCTCCTGAAGAAAGCGGGACCCGAACAAGCTTCAGCAGAGAGCCGGGGGCTCAGGAGCAGTGTGGCGTGCAGGTGCCACTGCGCAGGCGCCTACAGCGCTTGGAGAGGGACAGGCCCCATCCCCGGAGTCACCATGGCAACGGGCTTTGCACTCGCGTCCCTGTGCGCCTGCGCCTGGGCGAACGGCGCGCGCCGCCGAAGCCAGACCTAGGCCTGGCGGAAGCAGCCTCGGCTGACTGGGCAGCTGGAACATCCTTTTAAAGAGACCATCTGCACCCGGGCCTACTCAGTCCGTGCTTGCTATAGACGGTGAGGGCCAGGGGACCTCGGGTTCCGCGGGAGAGTCGGAGGGGACTCAGGGGCGGTCCCTGGTCCCGTTTCCTCACTGCCAACTCTCAGCATCCTGCTGTTTCCCTGCCCCCTCCAGGGTGCCCAGCATGGCTCCACCGCCCCCGCCTGGCTCGGTGATTGTCCCAGATTGGCAGGAGAGCTCCGAGGGCAAGGAGTACCTGGCCTCCATCCTGCGCAAGAGCCGCCGGCGCGTGTTTGGTGAGTGCCCGTCCGGCGTGGGGGTGGCAGAAAAGCTGGGCAGTAGGAGCCTCCGCCCTTCCGCTCCTCAATCTGGGGGACCCGTGGAAGCCCCATCCCCCCAGGCCAGCCCCTAATCTCTTTAGAACAAATTCCATCAGCAGAGCCAGGAACATGTGAAACCCTGCCAGCAGCTGCTGTCACCGGAGCCGCTGCTGACCGAGGCCTTCTTTGTCCCCTGCTGGGTGGACACTCTCATTGAATCTTCTCGAGGGTGCTTTCGGCCCACGGGCCAAGGTCATGCCCTGGTGGCCAGAGGCAAGCTGTGAGGTAAGACCCTGGTGTTCCCCAGGGTGGAGGCAGCTAGAGGGTCCTGGGTCAGCTACGCCAGGACCTGGGTTAGGATCAGGAGAGCCACAGGGCCAGAGGACGAGAAGGCAGACCTCCGGTTAGAATCTTCTAGTCGTTAGTCTGTGGACAAGACCATGTCTTGACTGCGTTTTGCACATCTTACAAGCATCTGTAAGAGCTGAGACTGTGAGCCTTAGTGATGGTGATTGGGAACACTTTTGTGCAGAGCTGCCTCACTAGGAAGAAATTCTACAAACTGAGCATATGTGTTACAATATTAGTAAAGGACCCAGTGCAATAGCCTAGTGGCTAAATCCTTGCCTTGCGCATGCTGGAATTCCATATGGGCGCTGGTTTGTGTCCTGGCTGCTCCACTTCCCGTCCAGCTCCCTGCCTGTGACCTGGAAAAGCAGTCAAAGACAGCCAGAAGCTTTGGGACCCTACACCCACATGGGAGACCTGGAAGAAGCTCCTGGCTCCTGGCTTTGGATCGACTCAGCGCCGGCCACTGCAGCCAATCAGCAGACAGAAGACCTTTCTGTAAATCTGCCTTTCCAATAAAAAGGAATAAATCTTTAAAAAAGAAAAGGCAGTGTTAGTGAAAACCATGTTGTGAATCACATTTAAGTTAAGGCAGATGTTACACCAGTTTGATCCATTGCTTGGGATGCCCTCATCCAGTATTCATGTGTTAGTTTTAATTTTTGTAATTTTTAACTGATTTATTGGAAAGGCAGAGTTACATAGAGAGAGAGCTTCCATCTGCTGGCTCACTTCCCAGATGATCACGGCAGATGGGCTAGGCAGAGCAAAGCCAGGAGCCTGGAGCTTCCTCTGGGTCTCCCGTGTGGGTGTAGGAACCCAAGCATTTGGACCATCCTCTGCTGTTTCCCCAATTGCCTTAGCAGGGAGCTGGATCGGAAGTGGAGCAGTGGGCATGTAAGATGCCAGTGTGCCAAGCAGTGCCTTGTCTTCAGCATCCCCATGCCAGCCCGCTGCTTCTGGGCCAGCTTCCTGCTAATGCATACCCTGTGAGGGAGCAGGTGAAGGCTTAACTATTTGGGTCCCGACCACCCAAGTAGGAGAGCTCAGTGGAGTGCCAAGCTCTAGGGCTCAGTCTGGACCAGCTTGGGCTGTTGTGGGATTTGAGAGAGTAAGCGCGCCAACGAAAGATACCGCCATTGCTCCACCTTTCAAGCAGATGAATGCAAACAGTTGAACAATTCTTATAAAGTTCACCGAAGGAGGATTTATTTTTTGTTTTTAAATAATTGGATGTTGGGTCCAGCAGCATGGCCTAGTGGCTAAAGTCCTCGCCTTGAACCCGCAGGGAACCCATATGGGCGCCGGTTCTAATCCCAACAGCTCCACTTCCTATCCAGCTTACTGTTTGTGGCCTGGGAAAGCAGTCAAGGACGGCCCAAAGCCTTGGGACCCTGCACCCTTGTGGGAGACCTGGAGAAAGTTCTTGGCTCCTGGCTTCGGATCAGTACAGTACCAACCATCACGGTCACTTGGGGAATGAATCATCAGACAGATCTTCCTCTCTGCCTCTCTTCCTCTCTGTATATTTGAGTTTGCAATAAAAAATAAATAAATAAATATTAAAAAAAAAAAAAAGAAGCCATGGCCAAATGTTGGTCTAAGTCCTTTTAAATAACTGGGTGTTATTTGAAGTGGGCCCAAACCCAGCCTGTTCTGGGTGGAACCTTCCAGAAGATGCCAGTAATGCTGGATTGGCTAAGGACTCAGGTTCCTAGAATTACAGTTCTCTAAGATCTAGGACCCAACCCTTGGTGTTCCCAAGCAAGATCCTGAGGCGGGGGCAGACTGTTTCCTGCCATTAGTGTCCCGTGCACAGGGCAATGTCGGGCTTCGGTCGTTTGCCACACATGATAGGTAATGATCCAAAATTTGTGGATGATTATTATTTCAGAAATCAGATTAACTCGAAGAATGACTTTCTCAAAATGCCCTGGTAACATTACCTGCTGCGGTGGCTGGGATGCTGGCTTGGGGTCACTTGGTCCCCCCACTGCCTAGCTCTGTGACCATGTGTAAGTGCAGCCTCAGAGTCCTCCCCTGTACAAGGGGCGTGTCCCAGACAAGCAGGTGGAGGAGGGCTGTGTGCTGCTGCACCGAGCTGGACCGACAGGCAGCCAGGGCCTCACTGAAGATCTGCTGTCACACTGCTTGTTGCATCTTCAGTCATGTGGAGGTGGGGCTGGTCTGGGAATTCCACAGAGACCCTGGCCACGTGTTCTAGCCCCCAGTCAGTGCCACGCAGCTGGTGAAGGGCTGAGAGGGCGTGTCTGCCGTGCTTTGCACTTTGAGGATTTCCCAACAGCTGAGCATACCCACTTGAGTGTGTCTTTTTTCTCTTTTTTCATTTTTTTAATTATATTTTTGACAATCTTTACATAGTTAATTAGGGTAAAAAGGTTCAAGGCTACAGGAAAGTGGGTAAAACTATTTATTATTTCCACATTGTTTCCTTCACGTATCTGAGGTAAAGGGGGATATTAAGGGAGAAGCCCCACCCAGTCTCCCACCCACCCCAGGTCCCGGATGTGGGGCATGCTCCAAGGGTCTGCTCAAGTGGTTTTGATAGTTCAACAGTTATGAATTGCTGCCAGTCTCGCCATTCTTAGCACGATGAGGTTGTTGAAGAATCCACTGATTGACATAGTCCGTTTCATTTTTATTGGAAAGGCAGATTTATAGAGAGAAAGATAGTCCATCTACTGGTTCACTCCCCAAGTGGCAGCAACAGCCAGAGCTGAGCTGAGCTGAAGCCAGGAGCCTCTTCCAGGTCTCCCACTTGGGTGCAGGGTCCCAAAGCTTTGGACCATCCTCTACTGCTTTCCCAGGTCACAAACAAGTAACTGGTTGGGAAGTGGAGCAACTGGGATACTGGTGCCTATATGGGATTCTGCCATGTGTAAGGCGAGGGTTTAGCCACTGAGCCATCATGCCAGGCCCCTGAATGCTCATTCTGACCCCCTCCACACACACACACAGAAGGGTCAAGAACTGCTGATAACTGTTAGTCTCTAAGTTTCTTAGGCTCCTGGAAAACTGGCATGGGGATGGTTGGCCTACAAGTTAGACTCCGTCTAAGACACTGGAGTGCCAGCAGAGCCACAGCAAGTAATGGGCCAAGTAGTTGGGTCACTGCCAGCTTGTGTGGGCGACCAGGGCTGTTTTCAGCTCCTGACTCTAGCCTCGGGCTCAATCCTAAGCGCTGCACACACTGTGAGAGCATGAATCAATGAATGGGATCTCTCTCCTTGCCTGTCTCTTATATAAACAAGTTTCTAAGACATTTGAAAATTGGGATCGATGTGGAGGACCGCAGATGGTGGATTAGCCCCCAAGAACCTCTTCCAGGTGAGGTTGTCCATCCTGGTGCCCAGTGCGGCAGGTGCAGAGTTAACCCTTTCCTTCTTTCCTTGTGCTAGGGCTGCTTGAACGGCCAGTGCTGCCCCCGTCTGTGGCCATTGACACTGCCAGCTACAAGGTGTTTGTGTCTGGGAAGAGTGGTGTGGGCAAGACAGCGCTGGTGGCCAAGCTGGCCGGCCTGGAAGTGCCAGTGGTACACCATGAGACCATTGGTAAGTGAGGGGGACCCCACCCTTTACCCACCTGATTCTTGGCCACATGAGCCAAACTTCATGTCACTTTGTTGGCAATACTGGAAAATCCTGTTACTTCTCTGGGGCTCCACTGGTGCCAAGGTCCTGGAGCGGTTGTGCGGTTGGTATTAGAAATGGCGCTAAGTTGGCACTGGGCAGGCACTCAGGAACTGCAAAGCATGCTATCGGGTTTCTTTCCCTTGGTGTCTGAGACCTACGGCTCTCCCTTTGCAAGCAGTGGAGCCATGTCCTCCTGACCCCCGGGGCCTTGGTCGTTTCTGCCATCAAACTTAAGCCTTCATCACCAGACCAGGGATACCCACTACTCTTTCTCCTCCTCATTTGTGGTCCCTCTTCCTCTCCCATCCCCACCCTACTCCTGCCATCACCTGCATTTCTCAGGCATCCAGACCACTGTGGTCTTCTGGCCAGCCAAGCTTCAGGCCAGTGACCGTGTCGTCATGTTCCGCTTCGAGTTCTGGGACTGTGGGGAGTCATCGCTCAAAAAGTTTGATCACATGCTGCCGGTGAGTGGAGGGCACGGCTGGGGTTGCTGCCTAATTCGGGTGTCTGCAGCTAGGCTCAGCCAGGAGTGCAGGGAGTGCAAGGTGCCCGTGAGAAAGCCGAGGGTATAGCTCTAGGTCATTGCTGGAGCTCTGCCCCAGAGCTGCCGCTTGCTGTCTCCCTGGATCCCAATTCCCAGCTGTGAAAAGCAGTGTTATTACTAAGGATCCTGCCACCTGCTGGAGGTGGGCAGGATCCTGATAACACGCTCATGTGGTCAGGGGCCGCAAGCCGGCCCGCTCCCACCACAGGCTTGCAAGGAAAATGTAGATGCCTTTCTCTGCCTCTTCTCCTTCACCGACCGCGCCTCCTTCGAAGACCTCCCTGGACAGCTGGCCCGTGTGGCTGGCGAGGCCCCGACCGCCGTCAGGATAGTCATTGGCTCCAAGTATCCTTTGGGTGACCCTCGGGACTAGCAGGCTGCCCTTGGCAAGGCACACAGCAAAGAGGGCAGGGCCTGTGGCCCTGGAGCTGGGGCCGGTGGGGCTGGCACGGAGCGTGCCACTGTCGTGTTCCTTGACCCTTCCTTCCCCAGGTTTGACCAGTACATGCACACGGATGTGCCCGAACGTGACCTCATAGCCTTCCGGCAGGCCTGGAAGCTGCCCCTACTGCGGGTGAAGAGCGTGCCAGGGCGGCGGCTGGCTGACGGGCGCACGCTGGATGGCTGGGCTGGGCTGGCTGATGTCGCCCACGTACTCAACAGCCTCGCCGAGCAGCTGTGGCACCAGGACCAGGTGGCAGCTGGCCTGCTTCCCACCCCTGCAGAGAATGTGCCTGGCTGAAGGGGACAGCATCGTGGGCAGTCAACTGTGGCCCCCGCTCTCAGCCCCACAATGGAGGGCAGAGCTAGAGCAGCGGTATTGGCTCTGGGAGGCCTGGTCAGGCAGGGTGGGGCCTGGCAAGGCACCTGCCCCAGAGCCTTGGCTTGCAGAATTCCTGATGACAACGAGGTGGAGTCCATCCCACACACTTCCCCCAGCCTTTCCCTGGCGTAATCCATGGATGGTGATTGTGGAAGGCACAAAAGTGTCCTAGACTAAGAGCCTAGATTGGGGTGGGTTCAGTAGTTAAGTTGTCGCTGGGACATCCACGTCCCATAACAGGATGCTTGACTCCATGTCTCAGCTCCACTTCGGGTCCAGCTTCCTGCTAATGTGCTAGAAAGTGGCAGGCAAGAGCTCAAGTACATGGGTCCCGGCCATTCCCATCGGAGACCCTTGTGGAGGTTGAGTTTCCTGGCTCCTGTCTGACCCAACCTCAACTGTCGCCAGCATTTGGAGAGTGAATCAGTAGATGAACAATATTTATCAATATTGCTCTACCTTTCAAATAAATAAATGAGCTTCAGGGGCCAGTGTTGAGGCACGGGGAGCTGGGGTGCTGCCTGGAATGCCAGCATTGCGTATGAGTACTAAGTCCTGGAAGTTCTACTTGCCATCCAGCTCTCAGCTATCCACCTGGGGAAGCAGCAGAGGATGGCCCAAATGCTTGCATCCTGACACCCTCGGGCAAGACCTGGATGAAGCTCCAAGCTCCTGGCTTTGGCTGAGGCCAGCCCTGGCTGTTGTGGCCATTTCAGGAGAGAGCCAGTGGACTCTGTCTCTCTCTTGCTTTCCCCCTCTTCCTTTCCATCTCCCCAATCTTTTCTTTTTCTGTAACTTCAACTTTAAAATAAAATATATTTTTTTAATCTTCAGACCAATAAGGATTCTTTTCTTTTTCTTCTTTTTTTTTTTTTGTATGAACCAGGATTTATTTATTTATTTTTGATGACATAGTTCCATAGGCTCCTGGTATTTCCCTTATCCCCTCCCCAATTCCCTCTCCCCCACCTAGTTCCTCTGTATCATTACTACAGTATAGTTCTTCATACACAGTCATATGTCCATCATTGCAGGCATGGACAATGGCAGAGTCCAGCATCCTATTGTTAAGATATTATAAATAGTTTCATTGTAAGTCCATCTTTGTCTGGGAGAGGAGATGCATACTACATTGTATACTCACATCTGGATGTTAGTCTCCATTTCACAGTTACTGTACATCCCCTTAAATGAAAACTCATAAAATCAACAATAGGAAGAAAAATAGAAATTTACAATGCCATGAAGTTAAATAACATGCTACTAGATATGACAGTCTCCATTACGCAGCTACTATACATCACTTAAATGAAAAGCCACAAAACAAAATCAACAACAGGAAGAAAAAAGAAATTAACAACACGATGAAATGGGCCTAGCGGCCAAGGTCCTTGCCTTGAACACGCCGGGGTCCCACATATGGGCGCCCGTTCTAATCCCAGCAGCTCCACTTCCCTTCCAGCTCCCTGCTTGTGGCCTGGGAAAGCAGTCAAGGACGGCCCAAAGCCTTGGGACCCTACACCCATGTGGGAGACCTGGAAGAAGTTCCTGGATCCTGGCTTCGGATCAGCATAGCATCAGCCTTTGTGCTCACTTGGGGAGTGAATCTTCAGACAGAGATCTTCCTCTCTGTCTCTCCTCCTCTGTGTATATCTGACTTTCCAATAAATAAATCTTTAAAAAAAGAAAAACAGCACCATGAAATTAAATAACATGCTACTGAATGACTAATGTGTTGCTGAAGAAATGAAAAAGAAAATCAAGAACCTTCTTAAAGAAAACAATGTTACTGTATGATCTGTGAGTCATTGAATGATTTAATCAGAAGAAAGTATTTTGAAGAGATGAAACTAACAAAAACAAAAACATCAAAATCCATGAGATATAGTTTCCGCTGATTTTTTTCGATGAAATGTGTCTCTTCTAAACAACAAATAGATGGGCTTTGTGTTTTAATCCAGTCTACTAATCTATGATGTTTGATTGAGCTTAAGCCATTTACATTCAGGGTTAATATGTATGGGTGGTAATTTGGTCCTGTCATTTTAGCAATGGGTTGTTCATTGGTTTAGTCTTCTGTTGTCATTTTACTGGGATGTTCTTCACATTTGCCTTTGGTTTTGGTGGGTGCTATTCCTCTTCTGTCAAGAGAACATCTTGAAGTATCATTTGTAGGGCAGGTTTGAAAGAGGCAAATTCTTTTAACTATTCTTTACTGTGGAAGAATTTAATTTCATTTTCAAAGACAAAAGAAAGCTTTGCTGGATTGTTATTCTGGACCAACAATTTTTTTTTTCTTTTAGAATCTGGAATATGTCACTGCATTCTCTTCTTGCCTGTAGAGTTTCCTGTGAGAGATCTCCTGTGAGTTTAATTGGCATTCCTTTATATGTCAATTGATTTCTTTTTCATGTGCACATTTAAGGATCTTTTCCTTATGTTCCATTGAAGAGACCTTGATGATCATGTGTCTTGGTGAAGATCGCTTTTGATCAAGCCTGTTGGGAGTTCTGTACCCCTCCTGGATGTCGTTTCACAATTCTTTCTCTAGATTAGAAAAATTTTCCCTTATTATTTCATTAAATACATTTGCAAATTCAGCTTCTCTTTCTGCACCTTCTGGGAAACCCAAAACTTTTTTTTTTTTTTAGAGATTTATTTATTTATTGGAAACTCAGATATACACAGAGAGGAGGAGAGACAGAGAGGAAGATCTTCCATCCGATGATTCACTCCCCAAGTGAGCACAATGGCCGATGCTATGCTGATCCGAAGCCAGGATCCAGGAACTTCTTCCAGGTCTCCCACATGGGTGTAGGGTCCCAAGGCTTTGGGCCGTCCTTGACTGCTTTCCCAGGCCACAAGCAGGGAGCTGGAAGGGAAGTGGAGCTGCTGGGATTAGAACGGGCGCCCATATGTGGGACCCCGGCTTGTTCAATGCAAGCACCTTGGCCATTAGGCCACGCCACTGGGCCCCCCCATAAATCTTATATTTGGCTTCTTAATAGTGTCTTTCAATTCTTGAATACCTTTTTTGGCCTGATCTAGTTCTGCTTCTAGCTTTTTGTTTATTTCCCCCTGGTGCCAGGAAATATTTTTCCAGTTCTGAGATTATTTCTTCTGCTTGCTTTATTCTATTTTGGAGACTCTTCACTGTACTTTTAATTTGCTCTACTGTATTCTTAGTTTCTGATATATCAGCCTTGATTTGACTGCTATTTCTTGTGTAGCATATTCCTTAAATTCTTCGAGCTCTTGAATGTGCTTCTCGTTTTTTTTTTAACTTTTTCCATTTTTTATTATATTTTTGATAATCTTTACATAGTTAATTAGGGTAAAAAGGTTCAAGGGCTACAGGAAAGTGGGTAAGACTGTTTATTATTTCCACATTGTTTCCTTCACGCATCTGGGGTAAAGGGGGATTTTAAGGGAGAAGCCCCACCCAGTCTCCCACCCACCCCAGGTCCCAGATGTGGGGCATGCTCCGAGGGTCTGCTCAAGTGGTTTTGATAGTTCAACAGTTATGAATTGCTGCCAGTCTCGCCACTCCAAGCACGATGAGGTTGTTGAAGAATCCATTGATTGACATAGTCCATGTTAGAGTCTCCGTTTGCCCAGTTTTTCACTGCCAACATATAGCTAAGGTGGATGATTGACTCGTTCTGTCTTCTGTCTTTTCATGCTTAGGGTTTTGAGTCTAGCAGTTGGATTGGGGAGATCCCCCCCAAAAAAACTTTGTCTGAGGTGTTCTCAGACTTGATTCTTGTATGTACTAGCAAGTACAGAGCCCGGCACAGTCCATCGCCCCTATCAGCTGGTTGTTGCAACTGCTGGGTTGGTTCTGTTTCCAGCCCTGACTTACACTGGAACCCACGGGTGTTGCAGTCCAGCCTGACTCTGCCCAGCACACACTCGGCCCTCACATAAACCAGTGGGAGCTGCAGCCCAGTTGGAGCAACCCACAATAACCCCACCAGGCCCACCCCTACCCTGGTTTGCCAGTATGTACCACAGACTAGTCCAGTCTAGCCCTCATTCCATTTGGCTCTCATACATGTCAATGGGTGTTAAGCCTAGTTCCATCTAACCAGCTCCACTATGCAGCCCACACAGATGCTGTTGGGTGCTCTCTGTCTAGCCACCCCAGCCCCTGTCCTAGTTTTTGTGCTCTCCAGTGGGAGTGGTAACCCAAGAGAGAGGAGTCCACTATTTCCCTCCCAGTCCACTCCCACTCCTGGATTATGCACTCTCCAGGTGGTTCTGTGGTTTAACTTGACAGAATTAGCCCCCAGTGCCAGCTTCTGCCAGCTGATGCTACAGCTAAGCCCAAACAACCCTCACCCACTCTAATTTTAGTTTGCACCAGTAGGAATAATCAGCCCAGCCTGGCTTTTCCCAGGTCTAGTCCACATGAGGCCTACAGGTGTTGTAGCCCTGCTTAGTCTGGTCTGCCCCCCATATTTGGGACCCCCCCCCATATTTCCCCTGCCAGCTCTGCCCCCTCCCTTCCTCACGTGTGCTGGTTGGGTGCTGCAGTCACATCCGGTACAGGTCACCTCACTTTGGCATTCCGTAATGTGCACTGGTTTTTGTCGTGACCGAATCTGGCTCGACCCACACTGTTCTGGTTTCTGGATTTGCCCATGGGTGACATGAACTGATTCAGCCTGGTCTGCCCCTGACCCATGCCAAATGTATGCCAGTGGGAAACTTTTCATGGCCTTTTCTGGGCTATTTCCTATCATGCTTCTTGTACTTACCTGCTGGGTCTGTGTTCTGCCAGAGGAGTTGCCCAGGCTCCTCCATCAGAACCCCTCCTAATGCCAAATTTTGCGCATACCAGGGGGTCCGTGAGCCAGCCCTACTCAGTTCACCTCCTGTCCTAGCAGGAACAGTGGCTTTTCCTGACTGGCCTTCAACCCAATCTGGTTCTTACTGTTGGATGTTTCAGCCCAGCCATGGTTTGTCCATACCCACATATGGCTCACACATGACTCAGTAGGTGCTGAGACCTAGCCTGGTCTGTCCCACATCTACCCTGGTCCTCCAGAACACCATAGTGTTGGGGTCCAGTCCGGTTTGGTGCCTCCAATCCCAGTCCACACTTGTGCTAAGTGAGACTACAACTGTATCCTGATCTGAACGCAGCCCCCATTCCAGCCCACACGCCTCTTGGT